GGTGGGTTATGAAAGATGAGGTGATCTAAAATTGTGGGGGAAAAAAAAGAGTGAGGGTGCCTTGGAGTTGTGGAGACAAAAAAACTTTGTTTGGGGGGAAAAGAGGGGAATGTATGAGAGTATATTTTTTTCCAAACGCTCTTTATGGGTGTAAAAGCGTGGGTGTGAATGTTGCAGCGAGGGAGGCGGAGGCAGGGGATGTCTGTTGAGGGCAATTGTGGTGTGAAATAATCAGAAAATTTGGGTTTGGGAAGTTAGGAGGAGGTGCGGGGTTACCAAATGTTGTCCCGAGGGCTGGGAAGGGGTTTAGGGGTTCGGGAATGTAGAGAGAAGGAGCGAAACAGAAAGACTTCAAGGTTATCAGCTGTAGTGGAAGGGGGGGGGTAGGGGTCGGCCCAGGAAGGGGGAGGGAGGGGGTAAGGAGGTTTTTGTGTGCGAGGGGCTTGCTTCCAGCAGGCATTGCGTGGGTGTTTGATGGAGTGAATGGAGACAAAAGGTTTTTAAAAAAATTGACGTGCTGTTGGGGGGGCAAAGAACATTTTTGGGGATTTAGGGAAAACCCGGGGCCGGACTTGAGTTGGAGATGGGAATAAGTGCCGCATCTGAAGGAGGGGTGTTAAGTTGCAGTTTTAAAAAATGTAGTGTAAAGCACCCTTCTGGAAGACAGTGATGGAGGAATGATGGTTTTAAAATTTTTCTTTTTCGGGCCACCGCCTTGGTGGGAAACGGCCCGGTGTGATAAAAAAAAAAAAAAAAAAAGATAATGAAAAAAGTTTAAAAAAAGAGATGCCAAGCAATGATGATCCTTTTTAAATCACTTGTTCTCTCTAGGCAGGAATACTACTGTAGAAGAACATCACCATTCAAAGCAGGTGAAATCGCAGATATAGAGAATGCACAGAGAATCTTTACTGCACATGTAAGTTCTGTCAAACACCTTAACTACTGGGAACACTTGGAAGTGCTTCACTTGTACTCACTGGAGTGCAGGTGAGAGATGTATCATAATCTACACCTGGAAAATCCTTGAGGGACTGGTCCCTAATCTGCACACAGAAATAGCTCCCAACATACCCCAATGAAAAGTAGGGGTGCCATTAGTACACTAAAAGAAAACACAATAAGTATCCAGGTCCCAAGACTGTTCAACAGCCTCTCACCAGCCATTAGGGGAATTACCAATAGACCCCTGGCTGCCTTCAAGAGGGAGCTGGACAGATACCTAAAATCAGTGCCAAATCAGCCGGGCTGTGGGTCGTAAAATGGATCACATGCGGCCAACAGTAACAGCCTAGCTGATCACGCCCTGATCCACTCGGAGGCCTGGTCATGGACCAGGCCGTGGAGCTGTTGATCCCAAAATGCCCTCCAGGTAGGAAGCCTACCTATAAAAGGTGATTGTTTAATCTATTATTAGTCCCACTATAGAAGAAAATTAAAAAGGGGGCTCCTTTTTGGCTTCTTGCTCAAAGCCCTTGGAATATGGAGTGCCAAGCCACTGGATGGTGAACTTGCCTACATGAGTAATACCTTTAGGTTCCTAAAATTTTCAATCGACATGATCAACACTTGTAAACAGAAAGCCACTAGCATCCACTAAACCCCTAATATGGAGACCACCACCACAAGAATATTGATCTTAACCCATAGGGAACAACCCTTAAGGAAAAAAATGGATTGCCACTGTTATCACAAAAACTCAGACTTCATGAATAACAGACCAATATTCTGCAGGTACCTAGGGATTGGCAGAGAGCATGCATAGTTCCTTTGTATAAAGGCAAAGGGGATAAAAGAGAGTGCAAAAATTATAGGGGGATAAGTCTGTTGAGTATACCTGGCAAAGTGTATGGTAGAGTTATTATTGAAAGAATTAAGAGTAAGACGGAGAATAGGATAGCAGATGAACAAGGAGGCTTTAGGAAAGGTAGGGGGTGTGTGGACCAGGTGTTTACAGTGAAACATATAAGTGAACAGTATTTAGATAAGGCTAAAGAGGTCTTTGTGGCATTTATGGATTTGGAAAAGGCGTATGACAGGGTGGATAGGGGGGCAATGTGGCAGATGTTGCAGGTGTATGGTGTAGGAGGTAGGTTACTGAAAGCAGTGAAGAGTTTTTACGAGGATAGTGAGGCTCAAGTTAGAGTATGTAGGAAAGAGGGAAATTATTTCCCAGTAAAAGTAGGCCTTAGACAAGGATGTGTGATGTCACCGTGGTTGTTTAATATATTTATAGATGGGGTTGTAAGAGAAGTAAATGCGAGGGTCTTGGCAAGAGGCGTGGAGTTAAAAGATAAAGAATCACACAAAGTGGGAGTTGTCACAGTTGCTCTTCGCTGATGACACTGTGCTCTTGGGAGATTCTGAATAGAAGTTGCAGAGATTGGTGGATGAATTTGGTAGGGTGTGCAAAAGAAGAAAATTGAAAGTGAATACAGGAAAGAGTAAGGTTATGAGGATAACAAAAATATTAGGTGATGAAAGATTGGATATCAGATTGGAGGGAGAGAGTATGGAGGAGGTGAATGTATTCAGATATTTGGGAGTGGACGTGTCAGCGGATGGGTCTATGAAAGATGAGGTGAATCATAGAATTGATGAGGGGAAAAGGGTGAGTGGTGCACTTAGGAGTCTGTGGAGACAAAGAACTTTGTCCTTGGAGGCAAAGAGGGGAATGTATGAGAGCACAGTTTTACCAATGCTCTTATATGGGTGTGAAGCATGGGTGATGAATGTTGCAGCAAGAAGGCTGGAGGCAGTGGAGATGTCATGTCTGAGAGCAATGTGTGGTGTGAATATAATGCAGAGAATTCGTAGTTTGGAAGTTAGGAGGAGGTGCGGGATTACCAAAACTGTTGTCCAGAGGCTGAGGAAGGGTTGTTGAGGTGGTTCGGACATGTGGAGAGAATGGACCGAAACAGAATAACTTCAAGAGTGTATCAGTCTGTAGTGGAAGGAAGGCGGGGTAGGGGTCGGCCTAGGAAAGGTTGGAGGGAGGGGGTAAAGGAGGTTTTGTGTGCGAGGGGCTTGGACTTCCAGCAGGCATGCGTGAGCGTGTTTGATAGGAGTGAATGGAGACAAATGGTTTTTAATACTTGACGTGCTGTTGGAGTGTGAGCAAAGTAACATTTATGAAGGGGTTCAGGGAAACCGGCAGGCCGGACTTGAGTCCTGGAGATGGGAAGTACAGTGCCTGCACTCTGAAGGAGGGGTGTTAATGTTGCAGTTTAAAAACTGTAGTGTAAAGCACCCTTCTGGCAAGACAGTGATGGAGTGAATGATGGTGAAAGTTTTTCTTTTTCGGGCTACCCTTCCTTGGTGGGAATCGGCCAGTGTGATAATAAAATAAAAAAAAATATACACTATCTAGGTAGTAGGTTGGTAGACAGCAACCACCCAGGGAGGTACTACCGTCCTGCCAAGCGAGTGTAAAACGAAAGCCTGTAATTGTTTTACATGATGGTAGGATTGCTGGTGTCATTTTTCTGTCTCGTAAACATGCAAGATTTCAGGTACGTCTTGCTACTTATTCTTACAATTAGGTCACACTAAACATACATGTACAAGCATATACATGCATATATGTATGTACACACCCCTCTGGGTTTTCTTCTATTTTCTTACTAGTTCTTGTTCTTGTTTATTTCCTCTTATCTCCATGGGGAAGTGGAACAGAATTCTTCCTCCGTAAGCCATGCATGTTGTAAGAGGCGACTAAAATGCCGGGAACAAGGGACTAGTAACCCCCTTCTCCTGTATATATTACTAAATGTAAAAGGAGAAGCTTTCGTTTTTCCTTTTGGGCCACCCGCCTCGGTGGGATACGGCCGGTGTGTTGAAAGAAAGAAAATATACACTATCCCTTGAAAGGGCTATGACAAAGTATACATAGGAAAATCTGATACAGACCAAGGATTGGCATCAGTGAACACATGTATGCCTGTCACATCAATAATGAAAACAATATTTGTGGTGCATAAGAACAGGGAAAGTACTAAACTCAACATTGTTGAAGAGAACCATTCCAGCAGAAAGTGTTGAGAAGAAACTCTTGATTATGACTGCAGACACTATTCCTCAGAGCAAAGGAGGCTTTCAATGTAGCCTTGCCTCTTGTCCACATCATACACAAGAACAGGAACACACCTCAGATTAACAGACTCGTGCAACTTAATCCTTGTACGGGAACTTAATCCTTGTACTAACATTCTGGGGTAGTGAAGCACTACAGTAGGCCTACCAGCCTTTCCAGTCTGAAATGAACCAGCCATTTCACCTTCAACTGATGCACTACAGTCCTCCCTACTACAAGTATGAACATTTCTTTGACTTCTTAGGTTTAACAGAGGGACAAAATGTTGTGCCACTCTAAAAATTGTGTTTTATAGTCTTTTTATCACTACTTTTTGATTGTTGCTGTAATTTCACACTGATATGTACCACCACATATGCAACATACTTTTGCAAAATTTAACTGTCCTCAAAACAGACTTGAGACCTTTAATGATTCCAAGTCAAAAACTTAATGACAAAACATACAAGGCCACAAGGAATAAGTGGTCTTGACTGATTTAATGATAATGCAGGTTAGGCTAAGAGCTGAAAAGGGTGCAAATATGAATGATATACTTTGGAGTAACTTATGACTGGAAATTCAACAGCATATAGAAGGAGGTATAAAGTAAATTAAATCCATGAGATATTATATTTAATACTGTAATATAAGTAACAGTTAATCTGCATAATTTGCCCCCTTTCAAAAGAGGTGCTTTGATGCTGGTAAAGTACTCTTGATTCAAGGAACTAAAGCCACCTTCTCATCCTCAGATCGAACTTTATTACCTTCCATTCCAAAAGCATAGTATGACCCCTAAGGATTTAATCCTTCTTCAAAAATATATTATTAATGTGTAAAGTGCCAGACAGGAAATGGAATATTATGGTAAATACTAAGATGGTTAAGTTAAAAAAAATGAAGGGAATGCTAAAAAAGAACGCACCTGAGCTGTGAACTGCGTTAATGATGCTGGTGGCAGACGAAGGTAGGTACGAAGACTCACTACAACTTGTAAGGCAACATGAAGTCTTTCCAACTGTACAATTATCATCTCTGGCGAGGCCTCACTGTTGTTCACAAACCATGATAGCTGCTCACCAGTAGCTAGTTCATGAACTACATACAAAAATGGGAGGAAATACAAACTGCTTTTAAAATCATTACATTTCTTTGCAATGAAAAACCTTAAAATATAAATTCAGAACATGATTTTAAAAATTCACGTTCAGTCAACAGTGAACCCAAATTGCAATTAACCCGTTAACTGTTCAAACATAGATCTATGTTCACTCGCCCAGTGAGCCAATGTGTTTGACGTACACCTACCATCTGACTTACGACCAAGTTCGGTTCTGAGAAACCGGTCGTAAGTCGAAATGGTCGTAAGTCGAACTTTACTACTGAACATCAACAAAACATTTTTGTAATGACTATTTTATTGTTTTATTTTGATATTTCATATTTTACTTTACTTTTTACGTTGTCAGTACTGTATTTTATACTGTAAGGTTTAGGATAAACACGGTGTACAACACAAATAGTTGTTTATTTCCCAGAAATTTGGCATAAAAAACACGGTCGTAAGTCGAGTGGTCGTAAGTCGAGCAGGTCGTAAGTCGGATGGTAGGTGTATTAATACGCCAAAATTCTAGCGGCTTCAAATCAAGCAGGAGAAAGCTGGTAGGCCCACATGTGAGAGAATAGGTCTTCATGGTCAGTGTGTGCACTATAAAAAAAAAAAATTGGGGAGCCAGTGGTGCATTTTGGGAATGCCATTTCAGTAGTCCTTGTTCAGCATGCCCAACGGTAAGAAATATGCGACTCCCGGCAAATCTGGGACTCTTCTCTTCCCAAGTGCTCGCTCTAACACAGCTGGAAGTGTCAATGAAAATAAATTTCATGGTTTTGAGGAGTTTGTGACTGAAAGCAATGCCCAGGATACCAGAAGAAAGAAAGAAGGAGAAAGAAAAAGAATGAAAGAGAAAGAACATAAATAAGAAGGAACATTGCAGCAGGCCTACTGACCCATGTGAAGCAGGTCCATGTCTCTCCCCCCCCCCCCCCCGGATTAACCCAATGACCCACCTAGTCAGGTCACTTCCACTTAAGGGAGGAGCACGGCATCAGACCTAGTCACAAGCTAGTCAGGTCAAACTCACACCCATCCACACCCACTCATGTACGTATCTAACCTATTTTTAAAACTACACAACGTTTTAGCCTCAATAACTGTACTCAGGAGTTTGTTCCACTCATCCACAACTCTAGTACCAAACCAGTGCATTCCTAAACCCTTCTTAAATCTGAATTTTTCCAACTTAAAACCATTGCTGTGAGTCCTGTCCTGAAGGAGAATGAAAGAGAATGAAAAAGGACGAAAAAGGATGAAAGAGAAGGGAGAAAGGAGAAAGAAAGAGAGAGGAGAACGGAGAAGAAAGGAGAAAGAAGGATAAAAAAAGATAACTAGGTAGGAGCATGAAGAGGAAGCAAGCATTGGATCCCATTGTGTTGACAGGCAGTAGGGGGAGTGAGTAATGATATAATATGTCATTCTGACAGCTGCCAGACCCTGACTCAGCACATTTAAAGTCTACACACACACACACACACACACACACACACACACACATAGAAAACGTAAGCTTCCTGAAGATAATAGCAGTTCTATGAAAGTGTCCAGTGACTATATATGTGTATATACATAATAGAAACCAGAAGGAAGGAAGGAAAGAATGAAGAAAGAAGGTAGGTAGGTAGGAAGGAATGATGACACATTACCTAGGATAACTACCTAACAGAACTGCCTGCTACTACTTTGAAGAAAACTGCTCAGATGAGGTGTTTTGTCTGTGCACATAAAAAACAAAAATGCCCACATACACAATTGTGTACGAAACCATGTTTAATAGAGTTCCACAAGCTGCAGAACTTGTAGGAACATGTCCACTGACTGTACATTGTTCCACAAGCTGCAGAACTTGTAGGAACATGTCCACTGACTGTACATTGTTCCACAAGCTGCAGAATTTGTAGGAACATGTCCACTGACTGTACATTGTTCCACAAGCTGCAGAACTTGTAGGAACATGTCCACTGACTCTACATTGTTCCACAAGCGGCAGAACTTGTAGGAACATGTCCACTGACTGTACATTGTTCCACAAGCTGCAGAACTTCTAGGAACATGTCCACTGACTGAACATTGTTCCACAAGCTGCAGAACTTCTAGGAACATGTCCACTGACTGTACATTGTTCCACAAGCTGCAGGACTTGTAGGAACATGTCCACTGACTGTACATTGTTCCACAAGCTGCAGAACTTCTAGGAACATGTCCAGTGACTGTACATTGTTCCACAAGCTGCAGAACTTCTAGGAACATGTCCACTGACTGTACATTGTTCCACAAGCTGCAGAACATGTAGGAACATGTCCAGTGACTGTACATTGTTCCACAAGCTGCAGAACTTCTAGGAACATGTCCACTGACTGTACATTGTTCCACAAGCTGCAGAACTTCTAGGAACATGTCCACTGACTGTACATTGTTCCACAAGCTGCAGAACTTGTAGGAACACGTCCAGTGACTGTACATTGTTCCACAAGCTGCAGAACTTGTAGGAACATGTCCACTGACTGTACATTGTTCCACAAGCTGCAGAACTTGTAGGAACATGTCCATTGACTGTACATTGTTCCACAAGCTGCAGAACTTGTAGGAACATGTCCAGTGACTGTACATTGTTCCACAAGCTGCAGAACTTCTAGGAACATGTCCACTGACTGTACATTGTTCCACAAGCTGCAGATTATTATTATATAATCAAAAAGAAGCGCGAAGCCACAAGGACTATACAGCGCTGCAGGGTAGGGAAGGAAGCAAGGGTATTGGATGGCAGAAGGGAGGAGGGATGATCAGTAGGTTACAGAAAACAGCGGGGCAGGGGATAGTACAGGGGTAGAGGGTATCAAGAGATTGAAGTAGAAAGGGCTGAAGGTATCAGAATTTGTGAAGTAAGTCAGTTGTTGTCAAAAAGTCAATGAGAGTGTCTGGATGAAAGGTGGGTCCATCAGCGAGAAGGGAAGGTAAAGAGAGAGCAGCAGAGCGAAGACGACGATGGAGGTAAATTCTGCGTGCTCGTTGATAAAGTGGGCAGTCCAACAGAACGTGGCTGACTGATAATGGAACTTGGCAATTCTCACAGAGAGGAGCAGGGCGCCTCTCCATGAGATATCCATGAGTAAGACGAGTATGGCCAATGCGAAGATGGGAGAGAGTAGTCTCCCAACCTCGACACTGGTGATAAGAAGACGGCCAGTAACCTATACTCGGTTTAATAGATTGAAGTTTGTTGCCGAGCATAGTAGACCAACATTATTGCCAACGGGTGTGAAGTTGGGAAGATATTGCAGCAAAATAGTCCGTAAATGGAATACCTCTACGTGAAACTGGTAGGTCATGTACTGCTGACCGCGCAGCAGTGTCTGCCTGTTCATTGCCCTGTACATCAACATGACCAGGGACCCAACAAAAAACAATATCTTTATGCTTGGTAAAGATGCGGCGTAGCCAAAGTTGGATACGGGGGACTAAGGGGTGAGGTGTATCAAATTTCTGTATAGCTTGTAAAGCACTAAGGGAGTCTGAGACAACCACAAATGATGACACAGGCATAGATGCAATACGGATAAGTGCTGTAAGGATGGCATATAATTCAGCAGTAAAAATACTAGCTGAAGATAGTAAATGCCCTTGTACGACGCTGTCCGGAAACACTGCTGCGAATCTTACGCCGTCAGAAGACTTAGAGCCATCTGTGTACACAGCAATGGCATGAGAAAGAGTGAAAGTGGTCAAGAAAAAGAGAGCGGGAAGCGACCGTAGACAGTTGGGCTTTCGAGCAAGGGAGAGAGAAAGAACAGACTCGAACAGCTGGAACTTCGCAGGGGGGTAGGGTAAAGTGAGATGCTACATGTACATAGAAAGGTGGTAATTGAAGAGAAGACAAGACAAGAGCGAATGAAGGCGAAGAGAGAAGGGACGGAGTAAACAGGGGCGGCGAACAAATAAAGAATGTCTACTAATATCGGTGACCATTCTATAAATGGAAGGATTGCAGAGATCATGAGAGCGTACATAGTAGCGAAGGCAATGGGCATCACGGCGATCTGATAAGGATGGAACGTTCGCTTCTGCATAGAGGCTCTCGACAGGGGAAGAGCGAAAAGCACCAAGGCATAAACGTAATCCTTGGTGATGAATGGGGTTAAGGCTAGAGAGAGTAGCAGGAGATGCCGCTGAATAAACCTGGTCACCATAATCAAGTTTTGATAAGATAAGGGTGGAATGTAGGCGAAGGAGGGTTCGACGATCAGCTCCCCATGAAAGATGAGCAAGGGTTTTAAGAAGGTTCAGCCAGCTGTGGCAAGTTGCCTTCAGATAGGTAATGTGAGGTTTCCAGGATAACCTACAATCAAAGAGGAGGCCCAGAAACTTGACTATCACGTTCAGGGATACGGGAGCCATAGAGGTACAAAGGATGATCGGAGATGACAGAGCGTCTAGTGAAAGTAATTTGGTGGGTTTTAGTGCTGGAAAATTTAAACCCACGTGTGGTGGTCCAATTGGAAACACGGTCGACTGCATGCTGGAGAGAAACTGTAATAAGGTGACAGTCAGCGCCTGCACAGGCAATAGCGAAGTCATCAACATAGAGTGATGACCAAATATTTGATGGAAGACTAGAGGCCAAATCAATAACAGCAAGGAAAAAAGTGTTGTCTCAGAACACATCCCTGGGGGACCCCCTTCAGCTTGGATAAAGTCCGGGAGAGCACATTATTAACCAACACTGAAATGCCTTGTCAGTTAAAAAGTTCTTAAGAAGGATGGTAGATTGCCTCGAAGGCCTAAGGAGTGGGCTTGGGCTAAAATATTATACCTCCAAGTGTGTCATATGCCTTCTCAAGGTCAAAAAATTGGCAATAACTGAGTGGTTATTCGCAAAGGCTTTACGAACATACGTATCCAAGCGTAGTAAGGGGTCTATGGAGAACGCCCCTTACAAGCCATATTGACGAGTGGAGAACTGTTGTGTCTCTCTAAATACCACACT